ATTATTTCTGCCCGTAAGATAAGGAAACAATTCAAGCATCTTATGGCCCTTTGGTTGGTATAACAAAGCGTCTCCTTTTGTGTTCTCAATTTGTTAGCATGCTTTTTCTCTGTTTTTGCCATACCTAACAAAAGTTTGTTTATAAACTCTCAGCTTGTAAACTTTTTCATTAATATGATATTCACAGTTAAGCAAAAAATGGAAACAAGTTAAAGGTTAGGTTTAATTTTTTCTGTGTTTTTCTTAATTTAATTTTGTCGTTCACTAATAATTGAGGTAGCAGCTTAGGACCAAAACAGAGCATGAAATTAACACTCCGTATTAGTTTTATTCTTTATTATTAGGAAGTGTACACATACTGTCCTCACAAAACCATAAAAACTTTAAAAAAACATAGATATGACCCTCTCATCTTTTTATTTAGTATATGATTTAGCTGAAGCTTGACGTTAACCGAAAAGAGTAGATCGATGATCATATCATACTTTTACAATGTCTTCACATGTCGCTCGCATAGCTTAGACGCCAGTTATCAGGATCCAAATACTCAGTGTCGAACAGCTTGGGAGCATATCCTTTCTCGCGATGGCCTTCAAAGTAGCATTTGTTGAGAGACTCTTTGGAATCAAGAAACTCGCTTAGCCATTTTCCTGATGACCTCATGTGTCGTTTCAAGTTATCATTGAAATCTACGTAATACAGTCCAAACCTCATTTTATACCCTCTCTCCCACTCGAAGTTGTCCATTAACGACCATATGAAGTAACCCTTTAACCTCACATTGTGCAGCCTGCGAACCATCCATCACATGTGTGATATAAAAGTATTTTTCTATGCCTTATTTAATTATTATAAAAGTATTTTTACTAAACATATTAGGTAGTGATATATATATATATACCTGATGGCTTTACCCATGATTAAGATGTGACTCTTAATAAACTCTTTTCTCCCGTAGTCATTTGTGGCTTCCGCTAAGGTCTTGGTTCCCTCGTCGATTTCGTCCATCCCTGCCAATTTAATTTTATTGTTTTACCGAAAAAACAGCACCATCACAATGTTTAGTACATGTACACATATGTATTTATATATTGTTAGTTGGTTACCATTCTCCATAATGTAAATCTCTGGATTCTTGTATTCGTCTTGGATATGTCTCAAGAGATTCATCAAACCCGCTGGATATATCACTATCCCCATTGAAGTTGCCTGCAGATTTAACAAGACATAGTAAATAGTTTGTAAACTGATCACTTTCATTTGTTTTTCTGAATTAAAAGCTATCCACTTCAGTTATTTTGTAAGTGAAATACTTTCGTAAACCATAAGAAATACTAGACAAATTTTTTTAACAGTCAATTAAAATCCATAATCTATCTATATGTGCTCATATGTAATGTGTATTAGATATAAACAAAATACCTTGAGATGTGGTGAGTGGTTTTGCTCAGCTGCAGGAACCAAAGAAACACACATTTTCACATATACATATACAAAGAGAACAGATTATTTTAGTAAGCACAAAAATGAAAATGGATATAAAGTACCTGATATTTTTGCGCCTACGTCGTTGGTATAACTAAGCTCCGATGCATTGATATTGGTGAGAGGGGTAGTGAAAAATGTACCATAGTAATTTAATCCGACAAAGTCCAAAGATCTTTTTAGTTTCTCAGATTCTTCTTCGGTAAATTCAGGCAGTCGGATGTTTACATCTTTTTGCATTACCTTTGGATACTCTCCATATGTGAGAGGGCGAAGAAACCTGCACATTCTTACGTACGTAGTTAAGAAATTAAAGCAATATGTATGACACATATCTTATACATATAATCAAACATTATATTAATTGAATCATGAATACATATCAAGATTGGTGTAAACAAAAGTAGAAACGCACCAGCCGAGTTGGTAATCGAGAGCTCGTCTTGCGTACTCGACATCTTTACTAGAATTGGGATCTTTAGGCTCGTACCAGTGAGATACCAACACAATTCCAATCTTCCCTCCGTTCTCTTGGCACTGTATTTCCAAACATAGCAAAAAGATAATGGAACTATTATACATAGGGTCTAAGATTATATATATATATATATATATATATATATATATATATGAAAATTACTAGCACTAACCTTGACACATTTTCGGAACTCTTCAACAGCAGCAAGATGAGAAAGGATCTGGTTATGAGCAACTTTGTAAGGCTCTTCAGATGAATCTCCAGAGGGACATTTGAGGACTTCAAATGGAGAGCACCGTCCTGGTGCTTTCTTGCCTTTTGAATAACCAGCAACACTATATACCGATGGCTCGTTAAATGTTGCCCAGTTCTTCACCCTATCTCCAAAATTCTCAAAGCAGAATTTCGCAAACTCCCGGAAATCCTCTCTACATTCACATTATTTGTTAGCATTGGTTGTAAGAAATAATCAAATTGTTGAAATTGTTTTTTTTTTGTTTCGTTTTGGCATATAAAAATACATTTTAAAGATTTTTTACATGCAAAATTACTTACACAATTCTTTCGTCTACAAAACCACCATACTCCATTTCTAGAGCAAATGGAGATTCCCAGTGAAACAGAGTAATAGAAGGTTGAATCTCTGTTAATTTTAATACAAAAATCGTTACTATAAATGAAAGTTGAAATAACTAGGTAAAAAAATTAAGAGCATGACTTTGTTATAAAGGTTTTCAACCATTGGCTATAAGTTCATTTATAAGATCGTTGTAGAACTGCACCCCCTCCTTGTTTACACCTTTCCTTAGACTTCCATCTGAAAATTGATATATGAATGAAGTTAGAAACTAACATTACCTCTTATTTGGATCCAGATTCTAAATGTATGTGGTTTGGTTAAATAGTTACAAGGAAGAATGCGAAGGGACTTACTAGGCAAGATTCTGGTCCATGAGATTGAAAATCTGAACCCATTCGTTTTTAACTCCTTCATTAATTTTATATCATCCTATATAATATCATATCCCACGCAATCTTTCAATATATACATGAAAATAAATTTTTATTTTATAACCAGTATACACATTGTAACAATGACGTGCCTTGTAACGGGTATAGAAGTCAACTCCGATATCTGCATCCTCCCCATGTTCAACTTTGTCTGAAATATATCACAATAGTGGTGTTACATTGTTTATAAAGGGTTTAGTAATAAAAATTTGTGATTTAAAACTAACATAAAACAAAATGTGTTAGACTAAGGTATCAAAATAACAGAAACTATTCATGATTTCAACTCCAACCATTTGTCGGCCCAAAACAAAAGCCAATCATTTAAAATACCATATGAAATAGTACAATAGGCGATATAAAATCACATGTTTGTTTTTCATCATTTGTTAGACTTCGAATTCAGGATCACTTTCTAAGTAATTGAAAACCGTAATTTATACCAGGAAACATGTGTGTGAATTCATCCCATCTTGTCAAGCCTCTTCCAGATCCCTTTTTAGCACCTTCAACCTATAACGGAACACATAGAATATGATAAGATTTTTTTTATCTATGTTATAATTAATGGATGTCATGATATTATGTATAAGATATCATCAAAGGGTATACTAACCTGAAATGCGGAAACGGCTGTTCCAAAGATGAAATCCTTGGGGAAATCATTCTTGTGGATCTCGAACTCGGGTCCAATGATGGTGCCCAGTTCTTCATCATCGAGGTTGGTGTGCGGTCCAGCAATGTCCGACTCTTCGCTTACATGCGGTCCAACAACGATGCCAAGATCGTCATCCGACCCAGTGTTAGGTCCAACGACGATACCGAGATCCTCATCGCTAGGTTGAGGCCTAGCTTCAGCGTTGAAGCTAAGGGTACTCGTTAGGGCTAAAACCCCTAGGAATAAAATGAGACTAGTAGTAGCCATTATATGAGTGTGTTTCTTCTACTTCCCACGCCGTATTCTATTTATAGAAAGGAAGCGTCAAGTGTATCCTGATAAAAGGGCAGCTTCGAAGTGTTGTATGAGTTAAAGGGAATTCATGGCTTTACTTGTGTTACACTCATATTCTGTGGGACATCTTTGGTTTGGCTATTGGATAAGTAATGGCACAGTTGTATTATAGATATAAATGATAACCAATTGAAGAAAAAATAAAACAACATAAATTTGAAATTCCCATACAATTAAAGTTGTTGTTTCATTTCAAACCAAATTGAAACTAAAATCATACCAATCCGATTCATAATAATTTAACGTTTTAATTTTTGTTATAATCCAAATCATACCAAGCCATTATTCTATGTTATAAGTCGTCAAAAAAAATCATATGTTCTAATTTTTCAAATCAAAGCATCCAATATAATATGAGTTTGATCTTTTCAATATAATTTTTTTTTGTCAGAAGAGTTTTTCTGTTTCTAGATGAAGCATAAAATATATATATATAAATATTGGAAAAGAAAATCTTCTAAATTACTATTATAAAAACATGGATTCTTGACACTACAAAATATAAGTTTAAAGATTTATTAATAAAAACATTTAACAGATATTTGTCTCCAGTCCATTTTCTCTCTAAAAATCTTCTATTTCCTTTTCTTTTGAAAATTCACAACAGTTTTTCTATAGTACTCCATCTGCTTTTAAAAGATGTATGTCTATATTTTGACGCATATTAAATTTTTTTTTTTTTGATATATATATATTTTTGATATATATATATATATTTTTTTTTTTGCTTTTATCATTTTCAGTAAGTCTAGACTAATATATAGTATATATTTTAATAAGTATAATTGATTTTGAAATTTGAAATTTATCATTATTAGCTAATAGAAATGCTTTAAAACATGAAACATGTATCTCGGTGATATAAAGTATTTATAAAACAGTTATCTTTGCGAAGCAGGTTGAGTTAGTAACTAATTACAATTCATCGGCCACAAATATTAGAAACTTGTTTGACTATTTTTCTCAATGATAGACTTACCAAATTAAAGAATTTATAGTTTGCTTACTATGAATCAAACTTATGAATTGTTCAAGTCATGTCACTATCCAATGTCCAATAAACAACACGAAATGCATTTAATGACTTTTAAAAGATTATTCTAATACCTTGCCCAAAGCTTTAACATTTTATTATTCCAATCGTCTGTAGAGGTTTTTCTTTTTTTTTTCCCAAGATAATTACATATGAAGAATAAAACAACAAGATTTCTTACCAAAAAAACAAGATTTCGCATTAACCAAATTAATTATTTCATTTTAATATTTTTTCCTTTTCATTTAATTAGTGAAGATGAAAAGTTTTAACACAAACTGGGATGTTTTTAACACAAACTGGGATGTTTTTAATACAAAGTTTTAACCATCCGGACTAGAGCATCACACTTCACTTCTTTCACATTTTCTATTGCAGAAAATTACGCGGTGTAAGACAAGGGAATTGGATACTATTACAATTATAAACTGTGGAATGTTAGTAATTAAAAAAATGGTACAAAATCAAATTTGAATAATAACAAATCAAATATAGCATAAACCTAATTGTAGAATAGTAAACGTATTATAAGCAGTGCAATTTTTTAAAATATATTGTAATGTAATAAAAATAATGATTACTAATAAATATATAAATTTAAATTTTTTTTTATTATATAACATAGATAATAATATTTTCAAGAAATAAAAATTTTCATAACATATTTACAATATTATTCTTCATTCACGTCATATATTCTCATTAACTGTATATTAAAAATTCTATAAATTAATAATTGGAATTATAATATTTTATTAATATTATAGAATTAATAATTTATAAACTTTTCATTTTTCAGATTCTACCGTATAATTAATTAAGCAGATAGTAATTTAAATCAATTTTACAGCTTCCCTTTTTGTGAGTCAAACAATAATCTGTTTCACTTTTGTTGAGATCAAACAATAATTTGATTTTTTATGTGTCAAATAATAATCTGTTTCATTTTTTGGATAAAATAATTACTTACCTCACTTTTATTTGTAGGTCAAATAATAATCTGCCTTTCTTTATGTGAGTCAAATAATAATCTACCATTCTTTTTTTGTGGGTCAAATAATAGTCTGTCTTTTTTTGTTTGATAACTCAAATAATAGTTAGGGATCACATAAGAATTTTCCTTATTTCTGTTTTTGTCAAATAATAACTTGCTTGCCAAGTTTAATAAATTAATAATGTGCAAGATATCTGAGAGCCTTTGCTATAACTATAAGCGCCCTGAAAGGTTCTCCGGTTTGTTCTACCATAGGTTGAGAACGGTTAATTAAAGAACAAAATGAATAAGAAAGTCTATCTTCTTTTCCTCTCTCTTGTCCTCCTCCCTCTTTACGTGTTTGCGTTGCCTATTAATGACAAACCTCATTGGCAGCCCATCAAGAACGTTACGGTTCCTTACGTTGTAAAGGTCGCTAAATTTGCACTCTCCGAGCACAACGTCAAAAACAGTACACTTAAAACTGAAGTTCGTGAGGGTTGTTGGTGGCGAATTTCTTAGAGCCCCTGATCATGCATATTACACTTTGGTTGTGGCGGTTAATGATGGTGGCGGCAGCAACATCTTAAACTACAAGACGACTGTTCTTGAACATTTAATCGAGGAAGTCGTTCCATGTGATGAGTTAATTATGTGAAAAGGAATGTAACTACTGATTTTTTACATATATTATTAAAATAAGTTAAAAAAAAAATCTTTGACCATCTTCTCATCTTCATACTTATGTTAAAGATCATATGTTTTTCGCTTGGTTGTTATTAAGCCATTAAAAGCATCTTTAACATAAATACCCAATTAAATTTCTTATTTAAAAATAAATAAAAATAAATTAATCATAAATTGTTACATGATAATAGAGTCCGCAAAACAATGCAAAATTCATATCTAATTTCGCCACAGAAACAAACGTATCCCACTTTTTGGTGGGACTCACATATCATTTCCCCTCTAAAAATCTATCTAAAGACGCGCATTGATAGTGTTCTAAGGAGGTGTAGTTGAGTAGTAGGACTACTAATTGATGTTTAGTGTTTTTATTATTTATCAAGTAAAACAAGCTTTAAATTCGATCGGTTTGTCTTAGACCTCGAGGGCTAGGGCCGGTCCAACTTAAAAAAAAAATTTGTAATGTCCTACTCTAAACTACAAATTTATGTCCATATTCTTCATAAATTTTTTATAGTGCTCCATATATATGTAACATTGTTGTACAAAATCAAGATGTCCTAAATGATCGGTTCCTTTGTCTAGGTCCCGGACTGGACCTGTAGAACTCTTGAAGATGTTGACTATATTGTGGATTCTAAAATTTAAGTATTTGATAATATGATTATATGTAAAAAGTTAGAAAATAAAAACTACCGTGGACAAGGATATCCGTAGAACATTAGAACACATGGATGTAAATAGACTCAAGGTAAGCCATTAGACACATTAGACACATTGATATCGTCGATATGAGCACCAACCCGGAGATTTGGCCGGCTTTCGCTACAGAGATCGAGATTTTCCAGAGGCTACGGGAGGGTTTTGAGGATATGCGACTGTCTCATATTCCTCGGAGCTTGAATGGTCGAGCAGATGCACTAGCCAAAGAAGCAAGAAGGAAGAAGAGTTGTTTTTTTCCATACAGATCAGACTAGGCCAGACGGAAATGCTCCCCGGAGGATCGATACGTCTGTCCACCATTTGATCTAATCCAATTGGGTGTGCGGACAAAAAAAAAAAAAAAGACTCAAGATAAGGAAAAATGAATTTTTATATTATTGATTGCAATTTTAATTTAAAACCGAACCAAAATTTCAAAACCGAAGCTTGAGAACAAAATAAACCACTTTTTGACTTTCTCACTTAAAATTGTAAGAAACCGCTCTTGTAGTTTCAAGAGGATACAAACTTCGAATCAAAAACCCATCAATCAATGTCCACTCCAGATCTCAATCCCTCCTCCGTCTCTCTAGCCGCATCAGAAACTCCCATGACACATCCCAACACACTCAAAACGCCGTCGTACAGAGCCATAGCTCCGCTTAGCCGTCATCCTTTCCCGGTCAGACGATCGCATCCCGTTTCCGGTTCCCCTAACCAGGACGCTTCAGGTCTGGTTTACCCGAGGACCCGACCCGGAAGACAGAGTCTGAATACCGCTTCGGGTAGTCCTTTTCCTCCTCCTCCTCTTCCGGTTTACGCGTACCAGAACGGACAGAGTTTGGATCCAATGAGTCAGTTCATGAGAGCTGCGCTTCCTCAGATCCAACAAGTTTCTCATCTCGGGTCGGGTCACTTGAAAGGAGTTCCTCACTTCTTACAACCTCAGGTTTAGCTTTCTTCTTCTTCTTATCTAACTGGACAAAAGTTAAAAGATTGGTTTATTAGTTTATTACATCAGTTCTGCTTTGTCTGTTTCATATGTTAAAAAGCTTTTAGCTTAGTGAACTTACTTAAGTGATTAAAAAATATATCCAAATGTACTGAAATCTGAATTGCGATCTATAATGAATGAACACAAAGGTTTGAACTTTGAAATCAGATTGGAAATTTTGTTTGGTCACGTTGTGTGCGGTTACGTTTTGTAAAGTTTGGATCTTTTTTGATGATTAGGTTGCTCATCCTCTTTCTACTTCAGTTCTAGACAATGGTGGGCGTAAAAACGCTAGGTACTACTCTCCTCTTCCTTTTATGCATTGTTGTGACTTGTGAGATTAAGAGAATCTTCTTTAGAAGCTTGTTAATGTTTGTGTTTCTTTTCCATGTTGTTTTAGAAGCAGAAACGACGTTCTGGTACTTATAAGAAAACGAAAGGTGAAGTTTTTGTTAATTATCTTTTGCGTTTGTGTTTGCGTTTTTTTAATACCTTTTGTTTCATTTGTTTTTCTTATTTTTGGCAGGTTAGAATAACAGAGGGAGCTTCTCTGTATTCACTTTGTAGATCGTGGTTGAGAAATGGTGCTCATGAGGGTCTTCAGGTTCGCCTTTCAGTTTCTGTTTTTATCTTTTGTAATTTAAATGTAGAGTTCGGCGTGTTGTTTTATGTCATAATAATGGATTACTTACAGAAGCAGCAAAACGATACCTCAATGACATGTTTGCCTAAGCCTTTGCCTGCATCGGATGTGGTGGAGAAAAGTTTGCCAGAAGATTCAGTTGAAGAACCAAATCGTGTACAAGACGACAAAGAGGTTTCTTCTTATTCCTTTCTAGAATGTTATTGGTGAATAGTAATGCTGACTTTCATGAGTTTAATATTCAACTCTGAGCTTCAGGACGAGGAATCTGTGAAACAGTTGTCTGATTCTGATCTTCTGAAAAGACATGTTGACCGTGCTAAGAATGTCCGAGCTAGGTGAGTCCACCACACAAACACATTTCGTCAAATCAAAGTTGTTTTCTTGGTGATTGCAGAAGCAAAAATTGTGGGTTTGTTTTCTTTGTTTTTTCAGATTAAGAGAAGAACGGTTGAAGAGGATTGCTAGGTACAAGGCAAGATTGGCTCTTCTTCTGCCACCATTTGGAGAGTAGTAATGCAGGAACGAGTAGGTGATTTAAAGCTTGGGACTTTTATGTGTATACGTGCAGTTGATTTAGTGTTATATATATATTTATCATAAGGTACCTTAGAGGGGCGTGTGTTTTAGCTTTGATATATAATAATCCATATATGCAAGATTTTCTCGGAGTTTTTCTTTCAGTCGTTTCTGAATAAAAAAAATATATATATTAGATTTTTGGGTCTTATTCAAAGAAGCCTATTCATGTTTTACTTCGTCTCCACGAAATTACTGTGAAAATTTGAATGCAGGATTTTGAGAGGTCTGTCAATGTTTCTTGGACAGCATTGGCTAACCACAAACATAATAAAAAAGACCAAGTGTTGAAGTGGAATGTAGTGGCTATGGACTGTTTCTTGGATTGTCATTGCTTCTCAGATTATTGGTCGGTCATATAAGCTAATAAACCGTTAGGATCATATATAAGTTAATTTTTAATAACAGAAAGTTAAAAAGTTTGAATGTCACACACAAAAAATGTCATTGAAATATTTAAATGGTAGGTCTATGAGCAGTCACACATATATAAAGTACACACAAATATATAGATAGCATTACAGATAGAAAGGCACGTACACGCACACAAGGAGCCGCCTTACTAGCTCGTACATAGCAACGGATACAGTTGAATGTTTGTCATGCATGTCATCAGACAATACAATCAACTGAATTTGATCTGTTGCTTTTTGTTTTATTTTCTTATATATAGACACACATAAGGATACACAAACTTTAGATTAATAATAGGTAGATAAGTTCCTCATCATAGAGGGTATTTTATTCTTGTGGTCTTGATCGAATCCAACAAAAGCGCATCAGAGATAGTCCTGTGTGGAGAGAGTTAAGAACTCAATCACAATATGAATCTTATCGTTCAACAGAAGTCCGTTTGAAGGGTTGTGGAGTTTCTCTAGCGCCAAAAACGTCTGGCTACCCCAGGCGTCTTCTTTACCGTCAAACACACCATCTGCATCTTTATCATATAAGCAGACACTAAATATTAGCAACTGGCTTATATATATATAAAATTAAAAAGAACGTAATATAATACCATATTCATAGTGCTGCTTGCGCATGTGCTGGTCCAACACTCGCAGTATAAAGGTGGCCTTTGTTACTTTCGCAGGAACATTGCTCACAAAATCGGACGCATGCAGAAACAAAGAGAACGAATTTCCTTTTCCTTCCCCACATCCTTTAGGGTACATCTGTAAGTACCTGGTTGAATTATGAAACATACATATGTATAATATTACCCTTCTTAATATGATTTTGCACTAAAATGAAATATTCATTTTTATAGTTTACATATTCCGCAAAAACATATATATATTACTTATCCAGTTTTAGTTGCAATATCCTTTTCTAATTAAAAAAATAAATTATATGGATATCAAAAACAGTTGATTAATTGTTAAATCAAATTTGATTCATTGTTATATTCAAATCCATTTACTCAGATTAAAATATATATTAAATTAGGTTAAAATATATATAATAACTTGATAAGGTTCAAAAACATATATTACGTATGTATTACTATATATATATATATATATGTTAATCTTTTAGATAACTCTTTTAAAACTTATTATCCTACTAAGTGTTATCGTTATTTGAAACATTCGTTGTAATGTATAACTAAGTCAATTTATGATTTTTAAAAAATAATTTGGTTGTATTCAACGCAGGATATATAATAAATTGGAGCAGGGGGGAAAAGAGGTCAGCATAAAATTGGCGTACCATCTCCGTGGTCCAAACGTGAACTCATACGACATATGAACTTGAGAATTGATGGAGGAAAACCGAGTGACCTTCCAGGAGAATCTATTGTTGTTCGTCTCGATCAGTGTAAGGCGTTCTGCTGTCCCGTTTGTTCGAGGGATGCTTGAAACCTTGAGAGATCTTGGTTTGACTCCGGTTATCTCCGCATAGAAAACTGCTTTGTCATTCACAACACACGCCTTCCTCAACGACTCTATTGAGATTATCTCGGATTCTCCCCATGATGTTCTGTCTGAGTCGAAATCCATCTCAAACGCTGATAAGACCAAGATATATATCGCAATATCAAATATTAAAATAATTGAAAGATAAAGATCGTTAGACTAATCACTTGTGAAAAAAATTAATATTTTACGCATGATTATATCAGTTGCTGCAGTCTGAGAGACTATGCCGAGTTTGTAAGTGCAGTTGACTTCCCATTTAGAACCACTACACTTTTCATCGATGATATGCAGATAAAAAGATAAGTAATCCTCTTCAACACCTGAGCGGATATTGAACCTCCTATATCAAGAAGATTAACACACATATTATGTTAAATTCAAATGGTTGTGTAACCAGATTGAATGACTCACCATTTGAGACCAAAAGCATGGAAATCCAATGAGGTACACATCTTAACCTTTTCGGTCATTAGCTGAGACATTCCATCGACCAACATGAAATGACTGTTGTTGCGTTTCTTTGCCAGATATTTTACGGTTTCTACATGCAGCATATATTTAGAGACAAAAATTAACTTAATCTATATGTATATATCTTTTTGAAACATTTTAAACTTATATGTAAGGAAGGATATATATATGTATATGTAAAACGAACCTTCAAGTGACGTTACACCCATTTTCAAGTAGGATTTTGAAATTTGTTGGTATATAGTTTGTTTGTGGGTGAGAAGAAAGTGGTATGTGTGTCTGTATATGTAGGGAAATTCCTAGACGAAGAGGTTTCAGTTATCTAAACGGAACCCGATACTATGTGGATTATTTTCTTCCAAAAACAAAAAAGTTTAGAGATGAGACTGGTAAGGGCCATAAGAATTCTTCAACTTCAACTCTTCCACAGTTTTTTTTTTCAGTTCATTGCAAAGCAATGTCTTAAGACTAGGTAACTAAATTAAAATTTATATAAATATAATTGTATGAAATATGATAAACAGAGATTTGATTCCTTTGATTTGGACACATAAAATACATTTTAACTATAATATTTTCATTAATCTCTATAATATAATTTTTTTGTATCAAATGGATCAAAACAATAATCATTTCAACAACCAAAACTCTATTAATTACCTTTCAATTACAAAAAAAAAAAATCCCAATAGTTACCAATTTAAAACCAAGCTTTCAATCAACCTTAAAATATACCAAATTTGGTAGGTTAAGATGTTTTACACAAATAGAAAAGAAAGGAAACAAATAAAAAGGTGTTGGTTTATGGTGTTGAATTTTGTTAAACAAAATTATTATGTGTAAAAGTTGAATTAATAGTTATAATAAAGAGATGATGATGTGGATTATTAAAATGTGAAAAATGAAATGTTGAATAATAGCTATCATTGTGCATATTCTAAGTGAATATCTAAAAAACAATAAACTAACAATAAATATAAATTAAGTACCACCAGTTTTAAAATTTATTAAGAGTGTTCATTTGACAAATTATTAAATGAGTTGTCCAAAATTTGAAATACACATTCAATACTTTATTATTACTTTCAATTTATTAATGTTATAATATTCTCATTAAACTTTGCAATAGAGATATGTCTAGGCTTTAAGAATGGTAGACCGAATACATATGTCATAGAAAATCATAGCTCCCTCTATTCATCAAAATACATAAAATATTTTTGTAGTTGATAAATATTTATACTAAGTTTTCGTTATCTAAACGATATTACTAATTTTTTACTTTTTTTTATGAATTATCATGATTGTTATTTTTAAGTTTTTAATTATTATTTTTATTAATAGTTAAATAAAATAGAAAACATTATATTTAATAGCTAAAGTACTAAAATTATTTCATGTTTGATAAATTCGATGTCTAATTATATAAACTTCCGTATAATAATATTAAAAATAAATATAGCTAGTTTTTAGTATAAAACCATATAAACCAAAAACTATGAGTATCTATTCTATTAAAACATGATCATAGCAAATAAATAAATATTGGATCAACTATAAAAATTATTTAAAAAAAAAATAAAAAATAAAAAATGCACCCGCCGTAAACTGAAAGCAAAGTCGATATGAGTTTGTTATGGTTGTAATTTTTTTATAAATCATAACACTGAATAGGAAACAATTGAGTTTTTCTTAAAATATGTTCAAAAAAAAGTCATTGAGTTTTTTGAACCGTAAAAGTTTGATTCTTTTGTAGTACACTAAACGGTCATGCATCAATGTTATCTTTGTATATTTTGCTTTTTCTAAAATAACTTTCAATGTTGTAGGTTTTTGCATTAAAAAAAAAAGCAATTACAACTTTACAAGCCTAATTTCTACACAAAACAATCCACCATTATAACTTTAAAACAACGGATCCTAAAACCGTTTTGTCAGGTTAAAATATATAGGCCAATCAATTCTCATCACTTTCCGAGAGTCTCATCAAATAATGAACATTTTTATTTGTCTGTTTCTTTTCCATTAAAATTTTATCCATGATTTGTATTTGGGCTAGATTCAGATCATTATATAGCAGACTAGCAGCAGACTTGTTTGGAGTTGAGGATTTGTATGGTCCAACTGAAAACTCTAAGAGTATCATTATTACAGGTTTCTTAAGGCGGATTTCTTAAGGAAATATAAAAAAAATTGTTTCTTAACTTTTAACTGAAAAACTAAGAAACTATTTCTTATATTTCCTTAAAAAACTATTTCTTATATTTCCTTAAGAAATTCGCCTTAAGAAACCTATAATAATGATGCTCTAATAATATATCCCTTTGATATTACCAACAATATAATTATATAATTTTATTCAATAATTTTTTGGTTAATTAAAGTGATCATATATCTATAACGAATCATATGCCCGGTCCCTATATTCCACAAATACTCTAAACCTTTAAATCAGCGTACTTGTGTTTTGATACTTACTTCCACAATCACTCGTTTTGTTCCCCCTCCCCCATCGAGAATCTAACAACATGGCTGTCAATTTTCAAAATGGCGTAAGACAAAAGCAATGCAACTTTCCTCTTCTCCTGCCCTAAACCAAATATCAATGCCTTATTTAAGATATGTAAATAAAGTCGCCCAAGTGAAAAAAGAAATTACATGCAATATAAAGAGAGATTTACGTTAAAGGCGAATCTCAAATTAATCTATACTATTATTTGCGAAGTGATTTTTCGCAATGGAGCTCTCACGTTAAAAGTTGGAGTGGTTAATATCGATTATACCCTTAATGAATAAAATAGAAAAATCTGCCAAAAATAAAAACGAATTTAATACTTATTTAATTAGATAAATAATTTAAATTAATAATAATGATAAGAATTATCCATAATATAAATATATATTTAAAAGAAAAAGATAATTTCTATATTTACTGTGTTGTTATCCGAAAAATATATTTTAATAAAAAAAATCAAAAACAAAAAACACATATATAAATATTCATAAAATATAATTTATAATTGTATATAATTCAAAAGAGAAGATTTAAAAAAATATAATACGTAATTATTTATTTAAAGAATATAATAATATAATATAATATAATGAGATATATATATATATATATTTGTGAAGTTATTTTTCTCCTCTGAACGCACACGTTAAATTAAATTTAAATTTATATCCTATATAGTTAAACCTTAAGCATGAATTAATCATATAAAATAAAAGATCATTAAAAATAAAAAAAATACGTGTTTAATAAAAAGAAATTAAATATATTGTATTATTATCCAAACTAATATTATTCTTTTTGTAATAAATTAAAATATTATATATATATATATTTGTGAAGTTATTTTTCTCCTCGAACTCACACGTTAAATTAAATTATATTTATATTTTCTATAGTTAAACCTTAAGTATGAATTAATCATATAAAATAAAAATCATAAAAAAGAAAAAAATACATGTTTGATAAAAATACATTAAAATATAATGTATTATTATCCAAACTAATATTATTCTTTTTGTAAGATCAATTTTTTGAATGTATATTTATCGATTCAATTTTTCAAATGGAAAGATAGATTTCTATATTATTTTATCAATTAAGAAGAAATGAAATAAACTTTAGATTTTTCAAAGTTTTAAAGGAAAAAATATTTTTTTTTTTAATTTATGAATAACTTTATCATGTAGAAAAGTTTAATGTTTTAGGTCAAATTTTGTGGATACAAATAATCATTTATTTTGAAGATTTTTTAAATTGATTTAAAGATAATTAAGTCCGCATGTGCGGGCAAAACACCTAGTACAGTATTACATTAGAATGTATTTTGTGCTACTTAAACACTTGCAAGAGCTTAAATGACCTCACAAAACTGATAATATCTTAAATTTCGGCAGTTTTTCTTGTCCTCCAAATCTCAACACATAATAATCTGGATCTTTGAGGACCTCTATCCAACGACATCAACATCCATGGTTGGTCCTTATATTTCTTAAAAATCAGTATATTAAAAGGTCAAAGGTGAAGTTTACGTGAATGTAATGAGCGGGAAGATTATTCATGGGTACGATCGTTCAAGCTTAATTCTTTGAGCTCAATAAGATCAAAAAGTCAAACGATCGTTTGCCTGTTTGATCATGTCTCCAATTAGTTGTTCGTGCTTGATTTTTTTCTTAAGTTTGCGTTTAATTTGTAATAGATAAGTAATCCGTGCAATATCACATAAAAAATCATTTTCTAAATATAAATATATATCACATTTATAACTTATAACTTTATACTTCAAAGAAATCTATGTGTCACAATATAAATGCGTCTATATTAATTAGAAAAATTACTAAGAATTTATAATTTATATTTATTTATGAACATTTTGAAAGGTTCTGAATTGTTTTAAAATTGTTTATGAAGGATTCTTACCATATCATCTTAATCAGAGGATGGTGCAGATGGTTTCGCCTTATTCACCAGTGCTTGGTTCTTAATATTGCAGGCACAATTTGTATACCTCAGCGTATACAGTGTCTCCTCAACATTCTCTAGTGCACTATGCACATAAACTTTAACAATAATATATTCTTCCTAGTTTTAGAATAAACTATTAGATATCAACTGCTTTTAACAATAATAAACTTGTCTCTTGAGTTTTCTGTATTTTCCTTTGTTTACATTAGTCACACGAACAACTCAGCTGCGGATGCTCTCGCTAAAGGGGCTTTGTATGCGTCTTCTTCTTCCCCTGTTTAGTACCTTCTCGTATTAATGAAATTGCCGTTCAAAAAAAAAGAATAAACTATATATCACTTAGCTACTTATTAACAATTTTCTATATCAACCGCTTTGACAACATTTAGATCAATATGTCATGAATCTATATCGCTATTATGAATATTCATGAACCACAATTTGTTCATGAAGTACTTAGATCTTCTTTTTTTTGGGGGGGGGGGGGTTCAGAAATATTTTCTAAAGAATTCAATTACTTTTTCAAAGAGTTAGAAACATTTTCGATAGGATTCGGAAATGATTTGTTCATTAACTTTGATTGTTACGTTAAAGCTGTCAAATATTTTCCAAATCTGTAACCTGGGGTTAAGTTGTAGGTTTATAAACTTCCGAGGACATTGTAATAGATATTGGAAATACATGGCTATCATCCGAAAAAGAGTTACAAGCTTTCTTGTCTCTTGTCCGAACTTCCTCTTCACTGGAGATACATGAACAAGAAATAAAAAAAAAATCTGGAACATACAGAAAATTGTTTCGTCAACATTAATAAAATATTGAAAACGATTGTTCAACGTCTAGGTTCGTTTAGAAAAAAAAAAAAAAATGTAGACGGGCAGCTTTGACCCACTTTTGAACCAGACGAATATATGTCTTATCCTGAAGAAGAAAAACCCCGGGAGATGTCAGAATTTAGACCTATTAGTCTCTGCAATGTTAGCTATAAGATTATATCTAAGCTACTATGCAAGAGACTTAAGAGGCTAATTCCGAGACTGATTTCGGAGACACAATCAACATTTGTGGCTAAACGTTTGATCACTGACAACATCCTGATAGCACAAGAGAACTTTCACGCCCTAAGGACGAATCAAAGATGTAGGGAAGACTTTATGGTCATTATATGAGTAAAGCTTACGATAGAGTTGAGTGGAGTTTTCTGGCTACCCTGATGTTAAAGATGGGATTTGATGAAAGACTGGTTGACCTCATTATGTGTCGTGTCACGTCGGTTTCATATCAAGTTCTAGTCAATGGACAACCGCGAGGCCGAATCTTACCAAGGAGGGGCCTGAGACAAGGAGACCCCCTGTCCCCCTTCTTGTTTATCCTGTGTACAGAAGCTTTGGTCTCGCTGTTGAATGGAGCGGAAGCGGAGAGGAAGATTGTAGGTCTTCGGGTGGCACATGCGAGCCCAAGGACCTCACATCTACTATTTGCGGATGATAGTCTTTTCTTCTGTAAGGCAGAAACTAGCCAATGCAAGAAGATCATAGATATCATAGACGTCTATGGGAAAGCATCAGGACAAAGATTAAATGCGGCAAAATCATCAATGTTCTTCGGAAATCGTGTAGACTACCTTCGGAAACAAGAGATAAAAGAGGTCCTGGGCTTCTCGGCTGAAGGAGGCATGGGTATGTACCTTGGACTACCTGAACAGATTTGTGGTTCGAAAACCAAAGTCTTTTCCTACGTACAAGACCGGCTGAATGGACGTGTGAATAATTGGTCTTCAAGATTACTGTCCAAAGGGGGAAAAGAGGTTCAGATTAAAGCGGTGTCTCAAGCAATTCTGACATATCTAATGTCATGTTATTTGATTCCCCAAGGCATCATTGATAAACTACGAAGCACGAATTCAAACTTTTGGTGGAGTTCAAAACAGAACAGCAGAGGTTTGCATTGGATATCATGGGACGAAATCTGTATCCCTAAAGATTTAGGGGGACTAGGATTTCGTGATCTCCATGATTTCAACATAGCACTTCTTGCGAAACAATTATGGCGATTGATACACACCCGAACTCATTATTGGCACGTGTCCTAAAAGGGAGGTACTATTACAATACCTCTCCTCTAGAAGACCGACGTACATACTCACCTTCATATGGCTGGCGTAGTATTATGGCAGCAAAACCCTTACTTCTTTCGGGACTACGGAAGAGGATTGGTTCAGGTTGAGATACGAGGGTATGGAGTGAGCACTGGATCCCCGACTCAGTGGCCCGACCACCTAGGCCTGCCGATCATATTGTCTACAGACTCCCCAGCCTCCCGGTTCAAGCCCTTATTAGGAATGATACCAAGGAGTGGGATATACAACGTTTGAGAGAATATTTCCAGCCAGACGACATACCTCTGATACTTGGGTTAAAACCCTCATATTCGTCCGCTCCAGATGGATATGTTTGGGATCACACAAAGACAGGAGTATACTCAGTTAAAACCGGCTATGATCTACTCCAATCGAACAAAACAAGGCCTACACAAGAATTGGTTCTCCAACCGAGCATCACAGGCCTCCAGAGCCATGTGTGGAGGATAGAGGCTCCAAGCAAGATGAAGCACTTCTTGTGGCAAGCTATCTCAGGTTGTGTGGCGACAGCAGAGAGACTCACCTACAGACACCTGGGCACCGATAAGAGTTGTCCTAGATGTGGTGGCCCAGTGGAGTCAATTAACCATCTTATCTTTGAGTGCCCCCTGCCTTGCAGGTATGGGCTTTATCGGACTATCCGTCCATTCCGGGTGTCTTCCCGAGTACATTTATATATCAAAACATAGACTTCCTTTTTTGGAAGAGAAAAAAGGTGGCTCCTCGGAGACCACAATTCGACACCTTCCCATGGATCTGTTGGTACATCTGGAAGGCGAGGAACGACAAACTCTTTAATGGGAAAGTCGTATCCCCATTGGATACTCTTCAACATGCGTCTCTTGAGGCAGAATGTTGGAGAAAAGCGAACATGAAAGAGGGAGTTGACGAGGCATATGAGGTACCTTCCTCTTTGGAGATTGAGACAGAACCCTCTGGGATCCCCCGAATCCCGACCTGTCAAATTGATGCATCATGGATCGACCATGGCAGTGTTAGTGGCTTAGGGTGGAGTCTTAAGGATCAAACGGGCTACGAATTGGTCGGACAACGGGCGTGCAGGAGGAGCCGTTCAGCTCTGCATGCAGAGATGGAAGGCATACTCTGGGCAGTCTCATGTTTGAGAGATTTGCGGATCAACTCGGTGAGGATTGAGACGGACTGCACGGACTTAGTAGACATGTCTACTAATCCGGAGGAATGGCCATCCTTCACAACAGAGATCGAGAGACTGAAAAGACTACAAGAGGACTTTGCGGATATGAGGCTTTCTCATATTCCTCGAAGTATGAATGGTAGAGCGGATGCATTAGCGAAAGAGGCGAGAAGGAAAGGATCTACTTTTTCCCATATAGATCAGACGAGGCCAGACGGAGATGCTCCTAGGAGGATCGACTCGTCTGATCACCACTTGATCTAGTTTCAGATGGGAGGCTGGCAAAAAAAAAAAAAAAAAGAGTTTGTTTTATTTTTTCGGAATAATATATTTTTTTGTTGCATGAAAGTAAAATGGGCTGGCCCAAACAAGGATCCATTACAGGTTAGCAATAGACAGAGCCCACTTGGCCCGTCTATCAATTTCAGAAAGGTAATTCCTAGGGGAGATACGAGAAGATGAGATTTTCTTTGGTGATTACTGGATATTGCTTTGATGAGCGTTGTATTGTTGGAGAATACCTGTAGATGGATGAGCTCCAGGGAAATTGCTTGAACAAGAGTTAAAATTTTAAATTTCACACAGAAAACAAATATGCCATTGGGAGTTTTAAATGTATCATAGGCATATGAGTTATGAGCAGTCACGCATATACACAAGCACAAATATATAGATTTCATTACAGAAAAGAAAGGTACGTACACGCACACAAGCAGCTCGTACATAGCCACGGTTTCAGTAGAATGTTTATCAACTGATTTGATCTGTCGATTTTTATTTTACTTTTGCCCAAACTTGCATGATATTTTGACACACATCAAGATACGAAAACTATAGACTAATAAGTATATAAGTAAGGAATTTCCTTACCATGAGGTTATTTTTTCTTATGGTCTTGACTCTTGATCGAATCCATCAATGCACATCAGAGATACTCATGTGTGGAGACAAATAAGAACTCGACCCCAATATAAATCGTATCGTTCACCAGAAATCCATTGGAAGGGTTGTGGAGTTCCTCTAACGCCAAAAACTTGTTGAAGCCCTTGCGGCTATTGGTGATACACCGATAACCGTTCGCTTTATCAAACAAGTAGACATTAAAATGGGGGAAATTAGCAAATGGCATATATATAAGTTCATATAAAATTAAAGAATGTAAGTATAATACTAAATTCATGGTGCTTGCGCTTGAGTTGGTCCAACACTCGCAGTTTAAAGATGGCCGTTGTTGCTTTCACAACATTGCTCACGAGATCGGACGCATGCAGAAACAAAGACAATGAATTTCCTTTTCCCTCTAAGCATCCTTTAGGGTACATCTCTAAGTACCTGGTTGGAATATATATATAAGATACAAGTCAATGTTCCAAAAAAAAAAAGATATACAGTATACTTCTTAATATGACACATGCATGTTATTTTTGTCAAAAAAAAGAAGACACATCACACATGCATGCTATCTCACTGAAATATTGGTAATTCAATGTAAAGCGGTAATTTGTTTTTTAAGTTTATTGTTGATGACAAAAAAAAAAAATCATCCCATGGTTATTTGAAACATTAGTTGCGAGTATATATATATATAATGTGGGCCTATTCAACAAAAATACAAAAAAAAAACTGAAGAGAATTACTCTCAGATATCAGTAAATCATGTTTTATGATAAATTAAAACAAAAGAAAAAAAATTCTCAAAATAGCATTCATTAAAGAAAAACAAATATAAATGAGAAATATTCAATAATAGCATTAACCTTATTAATCCAACATTAGCACATAAGAAAAATGACCAAATTAGTATTAATTAAAAATCAAAAGATATTTTTATTTTATATTAATTTGAGTATCGGTTTAGAGATTAAGGTTTAATATTTAGAAGGAATGACTAGAATACGGGTTTAAAGTTTGAATAATATTTCGTTACTTTATCTTTTAATTAGTGCTAGTCTATCTATTTTTGTATGCTAGTTTTGTCATTATTTTTTTGTGCTACCTAAATCATTTTCCCTATATATATATATAGGCTTAGGGTATAAATTTTAGTATTAGGAGATGGGAATGGGACTGGAGTTTAAGAATTAGGGTAATATTTTTTTATCAAATGCGAGATATTTTGAGAAGTTTTTATCATTGCATGCTATTTTGGCAATAAACTCTATAAATGCCATTTTGGAGATTTGCCTAGACTGAACAGTGGAGCATAAAATTGGCATACCATCTCCGTGGTCCAACGGTGAACTCATACGACGAATGATGTTCACCATCGAAGGAGGAAAACTGAGTGATCTTCCAGGTGAATTTAGATTTGTTCCGAGGCACCTCTATCAGTTTGAGGCATTCCGCTGTCCCCATGGTTCGAGGGATGCTAGTAACATTGAGAAATTTTGGTATGACTCCGGTTATCTCGGCATAGAAAACCGCTTTGTCGTTCACAAGAAACTTCTCCTTCAAAACCTCTTGTGAGATGAACCTATCTACTCCAAATCCAATATACTTTGAGTCCAAAGACACCTCATACGCTATAAGACAACATGAATAGCAGTATCAAGATAAAATTAAAAAAAAAAAAACATCCTCAAAATAATTAATATTTGTGAAATTTTAATGGTTACGTTTGCATATATCAGGTGATCCAGTCTGGGAGACTACGCCGAGTTTGCAACTACCGTTGATTTTCCAATTAGAACCAGTACACTGTTCGTCGTTGATACACAGATACAAGGATAAGTAGTCCTTGACACAACTTGAGTGGATAACCAAGTTCCTATATTGCCATTTTCAAGCCAACGCGATTAATACACGTATAGGTTAAATTAAAAATGTTGAGTTAATGACTCACCATTTGAGACCAAAAGCATGGAAATCCAATGAGTCACACCTCTTAACCTTTTCATTCATTAGGTTAGACATTCCATCAACTAACATGAAGTGAGCGTTGTTGCGTTTCTTTGCCTGATCTTTTATGGTGTCTAGATGTAATAAATATATACATATGAACAAACATATATAGACAACAATTAATTAAACTTATATGTAATAGTTGAACTATATGTAACGAATATATATATATATATATAATTAAATCAATAAAACAAACCTTCAAGTGACGTTAGACCCATTTTCAAGTAGGATTAAGTTTGTTTTGGGGTGAGAAGAAAGTGGTATGAGTGATCTGTATATATAGGCAAATTCCTTGGCCTATGGAGTTCAGTTAGAATCTATATCGGACCAGATATGTGGATTATTTTATTCCAAAAACAAAAATTAGAGATGTGATTGGTAAGAGCAACCCTACCCATCGGTGGATGTGCTTATATAAAATTGTCACCAATAAAAATCTGATATTTTAAAGCCTGGTCGACTTAAACACAACGGCTGTCGGTGTGACTGTGAGTGTGAGTGTGGATGTGAAAGTTTGCAAATGTAAGTATTTGCTATTTCAAATGTTATTCAATGATTCATTTTTTACAACTGTTATTAAATGATTCATATGATTGATACATCAGTTAAAAATATATGTGCTATTTATGATTATTTAACTGATAAATGCATCAACAATTTCATAATAAATTAACATTATTAATATATTTTATTTTTATAAACTATAAAGATAAAATTATGACAGTGAAATATATAAAAATATTAGTTTAGTATAACTAGTAACAATATTATATTTACCTCTATGTTTTAGGTTAGATGAAAATTATAGTGTTAATGAATAAATTATTTCTTTTGTGATGATTAATATTAAAATTTAACATATTTGGGTATACTTTTATATAAATATAAATTATGATATTAGTTAATGAATGTAAAATGTATATATATTTATAATATCTAAATTTATTATGTACTATGATTTTGGTTAAGTTTTTCTACTTTTTTTGTGAGCAAGTTTTCTACTTTAAATTTGTTTATATTTGTCTACTTGCGACCCTAAACTATGTGTTGATTTAAGAGAAATTATTTGGAATAGTTCTTTTCAATTTATTTTCAAAAAAAATAGCATTTAAATAGAAAAAGTAACCTAATATTTTTTTATTAACATGTAAATATGCATTTATACCCTAGGGTTAATTGATATTATATTTAGATTTAGGGTTTAGAGTTAAGGAGTGAGGTTTTAGAAATAAGATTTCAATTTTTAAAAAATAAAAAATATAATAAATTTTCAAAAGAAAAAAAATTTATTTTGGTTATTTATTTTTTGAGAACTATAATTATGACAAAAACTTTTTAATGGTATTGTTACAACATAGTATTAAGTAGTGTGTAATAATAGACTTTTCGTTGGAAAAATATACCATGAAATATGTCAATAAAATAATAAACATTTAAGATTAAAGTTTATCTATTTAAATCGTGTCATTTTTCTGTTGAATCATAGCCACTATAATAAATGCAGTACATTATAAGTTTAAAATTAATAAATAAAATCAATAAGAAATTAGTCATCAAAAGCTAACAATAATACATAAAAATATAGAAAGTTAACTAAATAACTTAAAGTTCTAAAACATAACAAAATATTAAGAAATATTGACCAGTTAAGCCAATTAATCTGAAAAGGGTCTCTTGGACACTCACATTATACATGTAATACGAGGGTTTTACATATTAAAAAGTTTAAAATGAAAAATTAGAGAAAGAAGAAGTTGTTCTCGTTTGAAAATTCCAACACAAAATATAAAATATTTTCTTTACATGCGTTTATTTATGATTAATTTACTTTATTTTGTGATTTACAACTTAATTAAAATTAAGTGATTATTTAAACAATTAGTATTAAATTTATTAGATGCTTTGAAAATATAATACACGATGTGGATTCTCTGATATGGGATATGGGGTAGGAGGCATTTGATTCTTTTTAAACACACTTTTTATGTTGTTTGTTTTTCTTTTTCATATTTAAGTCTTTTAAATGTTGTAGTTTTTTCCTAGATAAAGTTTAAGCGGTTAAAATTTTAGAAGACATTTTACCAAAACTTTAAAAAATAATCCACCATATTAACTTTAAACAAGGAACTCTAAATTCTAAAACCATTTTTAAGTAAAAAAAATGTAGGTCAATCTTATCACTTTTTGAGAGTCATCATCAAATAATGAATAACTAGAGTTTCACCCGCACATCCGTGCGGATATATTTTTTATTTTATAAATTTATAACTAAATTTTTTAAATACATAATTTATATTTTAGTTTTAATTATAATTATATATAATAATGAAATAAAGAAATACTTATTCTATAAAAAAATATTAAATTTTTTTGGTAAGATTTTGTTAGATATATTCAACAGATTTTGTT